TATATATATATATCGAAGCTCGCCACGTGCGCGTGACCGGGGAAGCAGCGGGGAATCTGGTGTGCGGGTGTACGTACGTGTTGACCGCTGGCGCGCGCCGTGCTTGGCGATGCTAACGAATCCACGCCACGGTTAATGCGGACCACGTTCACCCCCGCCAGCCTCCCAGCGATCGGCGCACGCACGCGCAAGCGCCCATGCAAAGCCACGAATCGATAGCCACCGCCACGACTATTTTCATCCGGCGATGATGATGATGATGCGACTACGCGCAGCAGCAGCAGCAGCAGCAGCAGCCGCAGCAGCAGCAGCAGCAGCAGCAGCAGCACCATTTAGAATCGAGAGATGCGCTCGCCGCGATGGGTGAACCCGCGCTGTGTTATTATGCCACGACGACGCGTTCCTTGTTCTCATCATCATCATCGTCATCCTCATCATCATCATCATCTTCCGTGGCCACGTGCTGCAGAGACCTCCGCCGCCGTCGTTGATGTGACGCTTAATCGTGACCCACTACTGTGCAACAACAACATTTTGCGGTTGTTCGTAGTTTCGTAGCGCACGCGCCGTGTTCGTCCGAAGAGCACCGAAGCATCAGTACCAATCATCCCTGCGTGGATTCGCCGCGAGGTACTAGAGAGCGGGGGAACGGCGCCGCTAGGAAGTTACGACTGTACTACCGTGATAAAAAACACACACACTGGGAGTAACGATTGAATGCGTGCAGCGTTAAACAGCAGTATGCGATCGTGCGGCCTCGCAAACTCGACGTGGACTCGTAGTGAGAAGGTGATACGTATCTCGTTGTCTTAATATTTCCTCCTCGCGGTAAGGACGAGAGGAGGCTGAAGAATGTGCTATTGATGAGGAGACGGCGACGAAAGGACTATGTCAAGACAAACCTGTTGTGCTGGCATCGTTTTCACGATCTGTGTACTGCTGCAAAGGTATCTTAATACTCGTCTGTTAAACGAAAATGTTCGCCAGTTGACTGGCTTCTTAGAAAATACACACAGATTATATGAGAAAGACTTTAGCGCTTAGATGATTACACACCCGCGGATGCGACAAAGTTTAATACACATATAACGTAACGTAGGACGCATACGACAGTAGGTTATGGTAAGCGTATTCGCATTGGAAGAGGTAAGCACTAATTGCATATCGGTACTAGCGTACTACGCAACTAGCGAGTGCTGCAAAGTCTCTGACATAAAAATAAGAGGAATTGCTTGCAATCGAGCGCGAGTAGAGATCTAAAGCGGTCTGCGAGGTGGGTGGCGCGTGGCGGCACAGACTCCGCAGGGCCTAACACGTGCAGTCCGAATCTGTACCGGACTCCATGACACAGATTAGCAATGGTCGGTTGGTCACAGCGTCCTACTTCCGCACTGTATATACACACGTGTTTCTGTGTACACTCGCGGGCTTGTGTACACATTTTCCGCAATCCAACCCACGCGGAGGCTGCGCGCGCGGATGGCATCTGACAGTATGTATAGTACTGTCGCCCCGCACACGCGCATCAGCAAGGAAACGAGGCAGCCGGTATTCGTGCTAAGCATGCAAGTTACTCACTCTGCTGCGTATTGTCACGACACGGAACGACCCCTTTTAGGAAGAGGTCGCATACTCGTGGATGCGAGAACCGAGCGCGGATATATGTATCGGCGAGGTGCAGCCGCAACTGCAGTACACAATATGTGTAGCAGAAATGACGAATGCAGCTGCTTGCTACCACGCACCCGCGCCTCAGCTGCTGGCCATAGATTATCTCGACGTTGAAGTCAGGCGTAAGCCGAACAATTTGCATATTGAGTTTCGGGGATATTAAGTGTAATACGCGTGGCTGGGGTCTGTGATTCACTTTGGAGTGCGAGCGATGCATGGATGATAAGAGTGGTGGCAAAGGCGAGGCATTCGTACATGGCCATGCCATCTATGTCGTGTATTATTGAGTAATGTGATTGCCGTTAGCTAATTAATATATATAATTAACCATGCAGTAACGTTGTTATCGCACAGTTGCGTTGGACGTGAATCACTATTGTAAGGTAGACTCAGCCGTAGTCGGGATTTGCACACACACACACACACACACCACACAAACATAAATATAATACAATGGGTGTGCGTGGTGTGTCGGTGTGTGTGGTTGGGGCTGGTGTGGTGGTGTCTGGTTGTGTGGGGGTTGGGTACGAGGTATGGTGGTTATGTATGCGTGGCGTGGCGTGGCCGTAGCGCGCCGGGTCAACCACACATGGCGGCACCGCGCAAAGCCACACGCACATCAAAGACAAGTACTGAGACAATCATTAACAAATATTTCTACAGAAATAGTAGTTTCAAGATAATCGCCAATGATGCCGTAGGTCACAGCGAGTTTCACAGATTAACTACGAAAAGGCCCGAGATTACATTTTCTCTTCTACAGCAAATCAGGCTCAAAAATGGGCCAACAACCGTTATTTTTCTACTCTTCTCGGTCTTTTTGCCGTGCCGTCTTCCACCGCCGTCGTTTGCCGCGTCTACACTGTCTGACTGTCTGTCTTTCTTTTCTTGTCTCCTCGTCTCTCTCTCCTTCATTGTGCACGCATCTTCCATTCTCCATTCTCTAGCTCCTGGCACGCCGCATGCCGTCGCGCTGTTCGTGTCTTCGTGTCGTGTTGTCGTGTGGCGCTCGCTCCGCGTGTTTGCGATGTATGTGTCTGAGCTTAAGCGGGAACAGCATCACAATAACGCAGCACGCTCCTTCGCGTTAACGAATACAGCTCGGTATATATAAATAATCTCACGGGGGTTACATGTGCATCTCCGCCTATACGGCAGATCCATGTGCACCGAAGCGCGATATTAGGCTAAACTCAGTGGCCGCGACGCACTGAGTTAGATTCCGGCAAGACACATAAAACACACACACACAACACACACACACACAACAAACACACCACACAGGCAAAACACACGCACACAACACACACACAACACCACAACACCACACACACGCGCGCACAGACACCGCATAGACACACACCCACACAGCGCACGCACCACACACTCATCCACAACGCCCAGGTCCGCACCGGCGGCGTTCAACACAACAACCACACACACACACCACACAGCACACCACACACACATCACACAAGCCACACCCACACGATCGCGACACCAAGGCACACGCGACACACACACACACACACACACACACACACACGCACACACACACGCACTAGCCGCACACACACACACGACACACACATATTCACCACACAACACACACACACACACACACAGCACCCACACACAACAGCAACACACACACACACACACAACAATCAGCTTCCAACCCCCCGCGCCGCCACACCAGCCGGATCACCACCCAGAAATAAGCCACAGCCACCAAACTTGCAATCGCCCGCACCCAACATAATGCGAATTCTTACTGGCGAACGAGGGAATGCGCACTGATAACACTGCGCCAAAATCATCGGCTGCCCTTAGCACGAGAAAGCAACATAGAATAGATAGCATATGAGAGACGGCTGCTAACCGACTTACGCCAATGATCGCCTATACAGTGCATCCAATATAAGATCGTATGCACATGCCGACATCTAGTTCCACCACGCTTCTTAGCGTCAAACAGAGCATGCCGATATCACCTCTCCACACTACGCTACGGACACTACCGCGCGCGTGTACCCGCGAAATGTTCTTAATAGCCTGCGTCCGATTTACAACAACAGACGTACTTCCAGTTAATTAAGCCAATCGAAAATGCTACAAAACATCCATGAAGCTATGACCACAAGGTCAAAGCATAGACGAAAAGGGGTAGGTGCATTATAATAGCATCTCTTCAATGCCCCCCGAGAGCAACTGAGTCAAAAATGCACCGTAACTCCTCTATGGTGCGTGTCGCAGCTTTGCAATTAACTGTGGTGCTCTTGACCCAAGCCTTCATCTCGATTCGCCTCCGGCCAAACATGTTCTGTTCTTGCCATCTAAAACAAAGAAGGCATACCATATACGTCCGCTCCTATGACACTATTTTCTAGGAAAACTCTTTCCTATACAAATATTGGCGAGTCAACTTCGTCCGCTATTGCAGCGAAATATCACTGCTTGCGTCATAATAGCGCTCCTAAACTCCTATGATGCGCAAACACATACAACAAATATTGCCATAGAACGAACTCTTCCTATGACAAATAGTGTCATTGAGAGAGGCGATATGCTATGTCGTATTGTCATAGATGCTAGCAGAACAGGTGTCCAGTCAGTTGAACCCCGCACCTGCCACATACGAGGCGAGCACGTCACTCATTCGAGCCATCGCAGTGGTGACAAATAGTGTCAAGGAGAGCGTTATAGCGTATGCGTATTTGCATAGATGCAAGTAGGAATTGATATAGCCGGTATAAGCTGCGCAACACGCGCGCTGTAGCAGGCATCTAGTTTCTCAGTCGTTCCAAGGGACGAATGTCATGGAGTCAGTACAGCCGAGAAGGCGCAATACGACACACGATGAACTGGTTACCGCTGCTGATAGAAGAACTTCTGACTGCTACGATAGACCGACTACGACCAAACTTCGGAGGTAAATTATAAAAGTCTGTAACGGTCGTAAGGTTAGTACAATATATATCTATATATAGTATATATATATATATATATATATAATATAAGTATATAGGTGTGTGTACTCAGCCGGGATACCCAGGCGTTGCCCCGGGGAAATCAGTGCGTTACGCTCAGTTGTGACCGCTTGGTTGAAAGGAAAAATACCCCAAACACATCCTAACTATCATCTATCCATGGCATCGCAAGCCATGATGCATGCCATCCATCCATATCACCCCACTCTATCCCATCCATCCCGTCCATCTATCGCACCGCATCCCGATCCAATCCCATCCCATCCCATATCCGCATCTCAATATCCATCCCATCCCATGACATGCCACCCATGCCAGCCACTCCATCCAATCCATCCCATCCCAGTCGCATCGCCATGCCATCCCATGTTCCATCCATGCCATCCAAGACAGTAAAAACAATAAGAAACACAAAGATAAAACATTAAAATCAAAATTAAATAAAACGTAAGAAATTAGAAATAATACATACCTAAAGAGGTAGGTAAGGGAATAAAAGAAAAAAGGGGAAAAATAAGTTCCCAGCTTGAGACATCGAAACCGCGCAATCCCGGTGTAAGGAGACGGATGTTCTAGCGATTAGGTCACTGCGCCGTTAAGGGCATACACCATGGATCGCACACGTACATGGATCTTTTAATCTGTACGGCACGCGCCATCCTATGATGAATGATAATTTACAATTTTAACTTATTTACTTTTTACATTTTTGTTTCAAGCCGAAGACCCCAGACTGCTGATCTGAAATATCTGTGTGTTTTTTTCTAGGCGGCGGACGTTCTCAGTTTGCGAGTCACGGAATCTCGGCTGAACACACTTTATATATACTAGATAGTATTTGTGGTATTTGGTATGATGGTATTGCCTCACACGACCTACCAATGGCATGTTTTACTGGATCGCGGTGCGTGCTGCCAGAAACTTGTGTGCACCTACTTGTTGCAGTCTGGTTTATGATGCACCTACACGTAAACTGCAGTAGCATTGAATGAGCACCGCGTATTGCAAGCTTTGGCTGTGATGCACTATGTCAGCACATCCGCTAATGCATAAACACCATACGGCGTTTAGCGTTATGCGTCTGTAAGTTCCACAGATCGTGCCGCTGAATTGATCAATGATTAATTTCGGTACCTAAATTCAATGTTCTCCCTTCTCCCGTATAGGTATAGCACTCTAGATGAACATTTCAATAGTCCCATAGTAGGGACGTACGAAATTGCATTACATATGACATTTTAACACAGTTCAGACAAATGACAAGGCCTATTATAGTTGATATGACA